TCTTTTTTTTTTTTAAATCTTTACCTGAGGATATTTTTCCATTGATTTTTAGAGAGAGTGGGAGAGAAAGGGAAAGACAGAGAGAAATATCGATGTGAGAGAAACACATAAATTCATTGCCTCCTGCAGGTGCCCTGATCAGGGCCTGGGCCAGGGAGGAGCCTGCAACCGAGGTATGGGCCCTTGACCAGAACAGGCCAATGCTCTATCCATGGAGCCAATCCAGCTAGGGCTGGTGAGGGTCTATCTTTAACCATTGTATTAGATACTGGGCGGATCAAATGTCTTGTTTTCAGGCCCACTTTACTCCCACTTCCAGAGCTGTCAGCTTCTGCTAATTCCTGAGCCTTTTGCAGTGGTTCTCACCTTCTGGCCCTTTAAATACAGTTCCTCATGTTGTGACCCAACCATAAAATTATTTTCGTTGCTGCTTCATAACTGTAATGTTGCTACTGTTATGAGTCATAATGTAAATATCTGATATGCAGGATGGTCTTAGGCGACCCCTGTGAAAGGGTCGTTCGACCGCCAAAGGGGTCGAGACCCACAGGTTGAGAACCACTGCTGAGGGTTCTGTGATTAGGTTTCCTCTAGTTTTCCCAAACCTGGCTTAGGAGTCAGGGTTCTTGTGCCTATGAAGTGGAGTTGCCACTCATGTATCCATTTTCAGCTTTCAGATTTTTGTGTCTCATGCTTCCTTTTGTTTTTTTTTTTAGATCTTATGGTTTACTTGTGCCATTTTAGTAGGTTTTCAATTAACCATCTTTAATTAGAAGTTCTAATGATATGGTTTTAATAATTGAAAACAAGCAGGTGTGTCTATCAGACCTGTTAGTTAATTGTGTGAATAAAAACTTAATAATAAATGCTGCTAAAACTAAAATGGTGGTTTGGAGATAGCAACCTCTCTTGTTTGGATAAAAATTCTTAAAAGCCAATCAAACTGGTCAATTCCTTAAACGACTTGAGGGTGTAAATTTTGAGCTAACATGTCTTGGTGGGCCCATGTTCAAAATCAGAGGTCAGACTTAGGCTCTTCATAATCCAGGCAGGCAATTGGTAATATATGTCTCCAACTGTTATGAACTATAAATATCTCCCATGAGAAAACTATATTACATGAGTGCTATGATGTTTGCTTTGTTAAAAATAATCCATGGTGGGTGTGGGGGCAATTACTGAGGGGTAGGGACACTGATGAAGCAAGAGTGACAGAAATTGATGCTTGTTGAAGTTGGGGGATGGATTCATTAGATGTTTCTCTCAATTTCTGAATATGTCTGAAAATTTCCATGATTGTAATAAGAAAACCATAGATATATCATACATCATCCTGAGGATGTCTCAATTAATTATTTGCTAGGACACTCGGGCATATTCGAAATATTTTCTAAAGTGAAGTTTTGCAATTGTCAAGCGCCTGGTCTTTGTAATACATGTGCTCTTATGTCATTCTTTAGACCTGATAGTGCCACTCAGGTACTACTCAGAGAGTTTACTATTGTGTTAATTTCTCATCAACTCTAATGACAAGGGCACAGGAGACAACAACATACATACATACATACACACACACACACACATACACACACACACACACATACACACACACACACACACACACTAGAGGCCTGATGCACGAAGATTTGTGCAAGAATGGGCCGTCCTTCCCCTGGCAGCCGGCACCACCTTTGCTCCAGCCTGGAGCTGCCTTTCTGCCTTTGTTCTAGCCCAGAGCTGCCTTTCCGCCTTCCCACATTGCCCAGAGGCCTGGAGTGTCTGGGGCGGTGCGGAACATCTGCGTCATCGCCATGGAGACAACACAAGCATCCTGCCCCGCCCCTGTTGCATACTCACCCCTGATTGGCTGGTGGGCGTCACGCAGGCTCGCCCAATTTGCATCGTTCTCTTTTATTAGTGTAGATATATTTATATAAATACCTATATCTATATCTATATCTATATCTATCTATATATAAAGTTTAAGACTCACAAGAAGTTGTGAAAATAGTACAGAGAGTTCCTTTGTATCCTTCCACTACCTTTCCCCCAATGATAGTATCTTATATAACCACAGTACGAGACAACTCATATGTGAAAGACCCAGTCCTCAGCAATGGGACGTTTTATCAAGGTTTCTAAGCTTTATTCCTGAATATAAACCTCCAGAACACAATATACTTGAACCACATTGGCTTACTTTTCCACAGAAATGCCTTACCCTCTTGGTTTTCATTGACTGCCCAGGTAAGAAATGGACACCTGAGGAATGTTTTTTTAATTATCTAAAAACCTACAATTGCAGACGATCAATTATATTATTCAACACCCCTTTCATAAGCATCCATGTGATAAGCTTTTCATGCAATCTAGTGCCAGGGAAAGGTTTGTTTCTCCAGAAAAAGAAAATTCCTTTATCCCTAAATGAAAACTATGTAAATAATCATATTTCTTTGTTTCCCTTTTTGCCTTGGTTGTCAGAAATTCAG